AAATGTGTTGAGAATGATGATGGCAACAAATGTATAAATGTGCTTGACACAATGGATGGATGAATGGATTGTGATGGGTTGTACAGCCCCCAATTAAAAAAAAAAGGCCAGTGCAAGGCCTGCTTTGTTACTAAGTTTCCATTCAGAAAACAAGAGGACCCTAACTAGAATATTGAGATAAGTATAGCCTATGACTTTCACAGCCGCCAAGAGAAAAGAGTATCAAGGATAAAGAGAAGGAAGTTCCATCTGGGTGTTCCCACGGCATCTGTTCCAGAGTCTAACGCATTCTGCTGACAGTCGGGAAGAGGCTTCTAGCTTCCCCAGAGCCCGCCCGCCACATGGGGTGCCCCAAAGGGAGAAGTGGGCCCTCACCTCCATGTAGTGTTCTCCAGCAGCTCCTCACATGCTGTTCGTAACTGAGGTCCGAACCTTCACCTGACCCTCTGAGCCACCATTTTCATGCCTCCCATTCTCATTCAGCATCCACAGATGCTCCCTGGTGCCCCCCTCCCCCTCCCAACTCTGTAGCTCCTTCTCTGCTCTGTCCTCCGAATCCATCCCCGACACTTCTCTGCAGCCACAGAAGCTCCGGGTCATCCCAGCCCTGCCTCCTGTTCCCCTCAACGAGGAGTGGCCAGATGAATCATCATCACCGGACGGTAGGATGGCCGTCTCCGCCACAGTTTCAGTTACATGTTTGTGTGTTTTTAACTAAAATATGCCTGCTTCAAGCTGCTTTTTAAAAATGCATGTAAATCTTTATTTTTAAAAAAGCTTCTTTAGCGGCCACCTAAGACACAACTTCTAGGTCTCTACTCGTCGAGAGCAAAGGAGAAAGAGAAAACTAGACTGAAGTAAAGCTAATCTACAGGACGGACCGGGCTATGGCTGCATCTATCCTGAGCCCAGACCTCGATGGCGCCCTGCCTGCCCCTGTCAGCCGCTGTGATCAGAGCCACGATGGAGGGGCTGATAGAAGGGGAGGGAAATGTGGAACAAATCCATTGAAACAAACAAAACAAAAACAGACTATGGGATCACTCGAGACTAGAACCGCCTACCCCCACCCCCAAACCATTGCCTGCAGTCATCTTTCCATCTTGAAATGAACCTAGCCCCTCGGGTCACCTAGCTACATCACAAAGTGGCTCATGATATCAAGAACATCATCTCTTTTTTATTACTAAAAGATCATTTTATTGAGGGCTCTCACAACTCATTACAATCCAGACACCGATTGCATTAGGCATATTTGTACCTAGGTTGCCGACATTCTTTAGACATTTACTTTCTAGTGAGTCCTTGGTATCAGCTCCTCTTTTTCCCCTCCCCCCACACCCTCATGACCCTTTGATAGATGAAAAGTTATTATTATTTTCATATCTCACACCGACTGCTGTCTCCCTTCCCCCAGGTTTCTGTTGCTCTCCCCCCTGGAGGGGGGGTGGTGGTTCCTCCCCTCTCTCCCCCCTTCCCCCTACCCGTCTGCTATCGCTAAGGAACATCATCTCTGGAGTACTGGGTATCTTTTAAAAAAAAATCTATGATACCAAACCACCTGCAATTCCTTTAAAACGATGATGGAAACCACGAGACACACGTAGAAACAACGATGACAGTAGAAGGACGGAGGTTCCCAGGTGGCGAAGAACAACAGAACCAAGGTTTCCTGACCCACCTGTGTAGAGAGGGGGTGAATGGGAACCTAAACTGCTGCGTGAATCTTCATTTGAAAACACTTACAAGTTTTTAATATTTAATCTGTAGTTTAAAAGGCGTCCGAATAGGAAAGTGCGGGTGACAAGGACACCCTGCTCTTCGAGCCCCAAGCCGCCTGTAACACCTCAGGGAGCCAGGTGCACTCTGGACCCAGCCCCAGCTCTCGGGAGGGGCTGCCAACAGCGGTGAGGCGGCACAACCCACATTTGGCTGCAGCAGGAGAGTCCCTCACTCCTGATGGTGGAAGACAAGAAACACCAACACAGGCCACGGTAAGCCCGTCTTTCCCCTCTTCTGCTGCAGACTCTCTTAGAGCCCCTCCTGGGCAATATCAGAAGTCTGTCCGCAGAGTGCTGACAGCCAAGTGGCAGGGCAGATCGGGTCTGTGCCTGTCTTGATCAGTTACAGAGCGAAGACGAATTTAAGCGCCTATAAAATGACCAACCAGTATTCCTTCCGCCTAGCCCTTTACAAAGTCCTTAACAGCCACAGCTTCCACTGGTTTACCAGATTCGGTACACTAATGGTTAAAATGCTAACCTTTACAGGTGATGTTTTAAAAACGGGTCGGCGTGACTTCAGGGCAGTCGCTCACTTGCTAAGACCTTCTTGGCAGCTCTCACAGATCAGTGGTGGGCCCGGGCAGTTCCAGGCCAGAGGGGCACCGCCTCACACTCACGCACCTGCTGAGAGGAGGGGCCTTTCTCCAGTGGGAGAGAAAACAGTGGAGTTTCGCTGGGAACTGCTCCCGACCCACAACCTGATTTATCTGTGCTGCAGCCTGTAATCTGGACGTGCCCAGGGGAGGCTGTCTCATGAGTGTGTGGGGAGGAAGGGAGAAACAAAACAAAACAACCCAAACACTTAAGGATCGCTGCTTTATAGAACACTGCTGGAGGCTGGGGGAGGGAAAGGAGGCAGAAGTGAGATTTAGCTAGAGATAATACTGGATTCCCTTGAACTTTCCCCAGCAGTGGTTCAGGGCACGGTGACCTGGTCTGGTCCTGTGCCTGGTCTCTTGTCCCACCTCCTAGAGGCCGCTCTCGATGGCAGTTTCAACCTGATTTCACTGGTTCAAAAGTACGAGACACAAGGGGCAAGAGCGGCCGGCACTGACCTCCTTTCCCCACGCGCCGCTCTCTGGGCACCGTGGCCCTGCCTTTTGTCCTTCGGTTGGCTTCACTGCCCAGCAGAGGCCATGCTGAAAACTCTGCAAGGGAGGCCAAGCCTCCTCCAGTCCTTGACCAGAACCTTTTGAATGGTCTCCTGCGTCATCTGCAGAGATTTTGTTGTGTCAGGGAAAAGAAGGCTCGTGAGAAAAGGAAATATGTAAGACTTCCTTCTGCTGTTCAGAGCTAGGCTGAGTGTAAACTGAGAAAACCTGCGGGGCGGTGCCGAGGCACTGTGTACAATTTGGCATACACATCTGTGTGCACACACACACACACACACCCTAAATCAATACCAAGGCAGAACTGTCCCTGTGGGTTTTCAAAACTAACTCTTTTGCGGGAGCAGAAAGCCTCCTCTTTCTCCCTCAGAGTGGCTGGTGGCTTCAAACTGCTGACCTTGCAGTTGGCAGCCCAATGGGTGAAACCACTGTTCCCCCAGGTGTCCTCACACACACCTACTGCAGGCCACTTTGTCATGGCTCCCTGGGATCCAAGCACTACCAGGTCCTTCAAGACAGGAACCCGGAGACAGCACCC